GGTGTCCACGATGGATGGCAGCTCCACGGCAAGATGTGGCCCCATGGCTGAATGTTCCAGCGCGGGTTGCCTCTCTCCTGACTCCACACACCAACCGGCTTAAGAAACAGGCGGCAATCCCGCCGGAGCGTAATCGAAACGTCGGCGGGCTGCGATTGGCCGCTCCGTCGCATTTCCAGATATCCAGGCTCGCTTGAACAGCATGGATACTGGAGGGCATAAGGCCGCAGATTAAAAGCTGATGAGGTGGCAGCTGGCAGGGCGGCCGTGAGCGATGGGGCGGCGTGATAGGCTGCCCATTTGCTGCTTTCACGCCGATGGCAGCGCCGTTGACGTTCGCGCCTCAGGAGTGCAGCACGGTGGACAGGTTCGTCGCGGCCGGCTCAGGAGTTTGCATGAACGAGGGAGGCAGACGTGCTGGTCAGTGGTCGAGGAGCTGCAAAGGCGGCCGTCTCGTCTAGCGGCGCTGGCGCATGGAACCTCTGGCGTGCTCCAGCACCCAATTCGCGATGGCATTCACCTCTCAGCGCCCGGCGCCCGTGCCGTCTGGTCGTGGTGTTGCGGGCATATCGCTGCTCAGCGCTGCGGCTAGCAGGCGAGTGCTCGTCCGGACTGCCTTCTTCTGGCCCGCCGTGGTGGCGGACAGGCCGCTGGACTGCATCTCACCTCCGTCTCGTCGAGAAGCTCTCTCCACCACGCCTCCCCTACCAATGAAATGACGGCTCTGGCTCAGCATCCCCGCGAACATGCCTCCAGGCCGGTGCGGCGCGGTACCTGATCTACTGCTGCCAGATCCCTAAGCTCAGGAGAGCACATTCCGTGCCTGCTGGCGTTGGCCGGGCCACAATCGATACGTCCAATTATCCAGCGGTGCCCTGAGCAGACTTCTTTGACCTCACGCCCGGCCCCACTGGCAGAAACGTAACCGTACCAAGTACGTCGGTCATTCCTTCACATACACACCAAAACCCTGTCTCTGCCCTTGACCCCTCTGGCCTGCAGGCTCATCTCTGCCCGCCGCTGTGACCCTCCCTCCTTCTGTACCTGCAGCCTCGAGGTGCACAGCACTGGCCTCCAGACCCTACCTCATCGAGCGTCCTACAGTGTCCCACAGCTTCATTGCCCTGTTCTCGTTGCGTCCGGACCAGACACCCGTCCTGGGCCTCCGAAGTCTCTGCCAGAGCGCCGCCATCATCCACGACGCCCCACGAAGCCTCTCCACCAGCACCAGCTCCTCCGCCTCCACCACCGCCGCCTCCTCCTCCCTCGCTCCGCTCACACGTCTGCTACATGGTCTCTGGGGCAGGAACGCTGTTTCACCGAGTTGTTTGCTATGAGTCTGGATCAGCACATATATGGGTACGGGCTTCCCTTCTACCTGGTCTGCGCCGTCAGCTGTCACCATGTGTCCCCCCTCGGCGAGAGCTCTGGAGGCACGTCATGACGCTATGGGTCGGTGCAACCAGCCCTCGCGAAGAGCCCAGCGGGCCTTCAATGGCTTTACGGGCTCTGCTGCCTGTCTGCTGCATCTCTCTGTCGAATTGCCCTGCGGCACGTCGCTGGCACCCAGGCAGAGGCAGGCAGCACCGCACGGTTGCGCGCATGCACCGACCCCAAGCTGCACCTCAAAACTCCATTCCAGCACCTCACATTCTTCAATCGTCGAGCAATGGCGCTGCCAGCGTTCATCTTCTGATATCATGTCTCCAGTACCATCTTCGCTCGCGTGCTGCAAACTTTTACATTTGTTTCAAGGCTAACCAGTGCGGTGTTTCAACAGATCAACGGATTGGCACCTTCCCAGTCCTTCCTCCACCCCAAAGTCCGTGACGTTTCCCGACTCGACCTTCAGGACGCCCAAGACAGAGGTCGTCCCCCACTCGCACTTTCTTGACGCCTGGTCAACCCCTCGAGCCAATGGGCAACAAACCCCCGCCCAAACCCCGTCTTTCGCCATCTCAACCCCCGTCGACCGACCCTCGAGCTCATATAGCCAGAAGGTCCGGACCCCCGAGGACCCCGAATTTCATGTCAACCACTTCATCCCGAACAATCTGCCCTTGCCTCCTGTCGAGCCTGCCCGAAGGCTATCGTCCTCGCCAGGCCCTCTGTCGATGAGGCAGGCTGGGGTATCTCTGCGTCAGAACCCCTCATCTCGACCTCGGCCAGTCAGCATGGACACTGCGCAGATGCAGACGCCGCCTCCAACGAGAGACGATAATTCACGAAGAGGCTTCCAGCAGAACATGGGCAATGAATTCGCTACGCCGGCTACCGTAATCTCAAGAACACCCGTCCAAGTGCCGACATCTTCTGCGCTCTTCAATCAGACGCCGTATGGCTTTCCCAGCCTACAGTTCTCGCCAGACATGGTTCAATTCCCCAGCACCGAACCCATGTCGGCGCCCCCTCTTCCTCACTCCCGTCTCTTCTGGGATCAGCCCAATGATGGCAATCATATGGATGTAGACATGCCCATGGTGTCGGATCCCTTTGGCCCCACCCCGCAAAAGATCGAGGGCATGAATTGGCAGACTTTCCATACTCCCGCTAACCACATGAACCCGAATCCGCAACAAATGAACCCGCAGGCTTTCCAAGCACTTCATGGCATGTCATCTCCTGGTCCGCATGCTTCATTTGCAACAAGAAATACTGGTGATGGTCCAAACTCGAGGCCAAACTCATTCATCTCGACTTCGGCGGGTGTCGACCCGAGCATGCTCTTCAGTTTTTCGAGCCCTGGCCCTGCCCCTAGCACCTCGTTCAACAACCTAACGCAACAGACCAACTCAAGCCATGAAGGCAGACTACCATATGAGACACAGGCCCGAGACTCGCTTCGAGAAAGGGAAATGGCTAAGAAGGCAAAGAGCCAGCATTCCCGCACTAGCACCAGCTCATCCACAGCCTCCTTTGAGAATTCTAGACCTAGTCTACAACGCAGCAACACTGATAGTGGCTTTCGAAAGAGCAGGCCGTCTTCATCGGATTCGAGATCATCCAGCACTGTTACTGGTTTTAACATCCCACGCCGCTCGTCGCCGCTAAAAAGGGCGAGTGGTGGCTCATTGCTATCTATACCAGAAGTCCGAAGACCAAAGACTCGTCTTGTCATTGATGAAACTGGCCGAGCCCGAACTGAGACTGTCCCTGCTGAGGACGAGGTAGATGTGAGGAGAGAGACCCGTGCAGATACGCAGAAAGATATGAGGCGTCAATACCCTGGTCTTTGGGCCGAAGACGACAGCGAGTCGGAGCCCGATGAGCCTGTGACCCTTAGCCGCAACACGTCATTTAATCTACCTCAGCGCCGTCCTTCAAAGCATGCCAGAGCCGACAGTGGCGATCTCAACAGATCAAATTCGTTCAAGATGCCTAGACCCACTTCCGGGATGTTTGACAAGTCGTCTTTTGAGACCATTCGTCCTATGAAAAAGTCTGCAGACAACAACTTCCGACGATTCAGCATGATGGACTTTTCGACCTCCTTTGGTGATGTGAAACAGAATGAGGATCAACACATGCCCGACTCGCCTGGAGACGCAGCCGGCGCTTTGAAGAAGATGTTTGAAGGTCGGCAGAAGAAGATAGGCATCATAAATGAATCAGGTATGACTACTGAATTGGCTTGCCTTCGCGGCTAACGTACCCAGAACGTTCGACGCAGAACGCACTGAAAGCACACAATCAACGCTGGGCACAAGCCTCTGCCGACCTCGCAAATTCTAGCATTAGCCCGCAAGGCCTTTACCACGATCCATTTACAAACTCGTTCAATGGCTCTCCTGCCACTGACGCCAGCCTCACCACGCCGTCTACAGATCGAAGTAGCCTTTCGGGCGAGAGCACTCGCTGTATCTGCAACTCTTCAGATGACGGCCGACCTATGGTGCAATGCGAATCATGCACCAAGTGGCTACACATGGCCTGCGTTGGTATACAGTCGCACAATCTTCCGCCGGTATATGTCTGCATATTCTGCACCGGCAATACACCCGTTGCGAGAGGCGGAAGGGTGAGGGGACCCATGCCCGCGCCGTTCGACTCGCCACTCACACACAAGTCGGTCTTCCGACGATAAACATGACTTACCACACCACCAACCCCTGCTCGCGCTTTGTACCAATCTGTTTGCGCGTCGACATCGATCCAGCCCTCTCGCGATACCAGGATACCCAAGGCCGATCGATTGCACTACTTCCTCTCAGCATATCCGTCCTTTGTCTAGGATCAGCATTTGTCCTTTGGATTCCAGCGTTGTTTTCTTTTGTCATAGTCCAGCGTTGATTGAGCACCAAGCAAGCATTTTATACATCTCTGCATACGCCTTCATCGGTTTTTCCTTCGGTTTGTACCCTTCATGCCGGTCTTTACCTGTAGCCCGCGAGCTCGAATATGGTCGTCTGTCTAATGGGGCCGCAAACATTTCCCCTCGCATGATGGCCACTACTTCCTGACACGGGTGCGTCCATCGAACTACATGTAATCGAAACCACAGTCCCATCTCGAATTCCCGCTGGACCAGGAGTTTTCGGTGGGCCCCATTAATGTCTTGTCGCTCATTTGTCTGATGCGGAGCAGGGATATAGAAGTAATGATGTCGAGCTCACGTCTTGTTTTCTGATATTTGTTGTCTGTTTCTTGACGCTCTTTTATGCCAGTTAATGAGTTGCCTATGCAGGCGTTTGATTAGCTTAATGAATAGGAAAGGAATTGTAGTAGTAAAGGAGGCGTAACGACGCAGGTGTGTAGATATCTAGATATTTGCTACCTGAGAAGAAACACATTGAAAAGTCAATATATCTACTTCGTCCGCGTGATGCTCTCGGTGTTGTTTTTTACCTTGACCGTATGTATGTATATCAGCTAGTTAGTCAGTGTTCGTGCCCTCGCTAAACTCTCCATACTCGCACACCAGCCCAAAAAATAAATCAACTCCAAGGCGAAAAGAAGAAATGAAGAATATCTAAATGCAAAAAAAGAAAGAAAGGAAGACACGAAGCCCATGGGGCTCGAACCCACAACCTTTGGTGAACGTTTCGAGATTAACCGAAAACCAACGCGCTACCATTGCGCCAAGGCTCCTTTTTCAAGTGGAATTATGGAAGTTTCTGGGAATTAGTTTGTATCTATCGGGTTTTCGGGTGGAGGACGCGTGTGATGAGAGGAAGGATCTTGGTTTCGGTGGGTGTAGGTGGGTGGGTAAAAGTGGGGCGTTCGGCGTCTGGGCGTTTTTAAGTGGGTGATGGGGGGGTGGGTGGCGAGCGGGCTAGTGGGGTTCGCGGTATGGTTTGTTGGTGGGTGTTGTTTTCGGATGGGGCGAAGCATGGGATGATGGGTTTGCATTGTTGGGACTTTTTGGCTGTGTGGGG